AAGCCTGATGAGGAATGGTTGAGGCAGTTGGAAACCAAGCCTGATGAGGAATGGTTGAGGCAGTTGGAAACCAAGCCTGATGAGGAACGGTTGAGGCAGTTGGAAACCAAGCCTCATGAGGAATGGTTGAGGCAGTTGGAAACCAAGCCTGATGAGGAACAGTTGAGGCAGTTGGAAACCAAGCCTGATGAGGAACGGTTGAGGCAGTTGGAAACCAAGCCTCATGAAGAACGGTTGAGGCAGCTGGGTATCTTTAGCCTGGAGAAGAGGAGACTGAGAGGAGAGAGGAGAGCCATCTTCCAATATCTGAGGGCTGCAAGAGGGAGCAAGCTTGTTTTCTGCTGCTCCAGAGGGGAGGGCAAGTGAGGAGATTCGGACTAAACATTAGGAAGAACTTTCTGATGGTAAGACTCTCTGGGACGGTGGTGGACTCTTCTTCCTTGGAGGCTTTCAAGCAGGGGTTGGATGCCAATCTGCGAGGGATTCAGCTGCAATTTGGGGAGCGCATAGCACTGGCCTACTTTACAGGGTTGTTGTAACCACACAGGGCTGCTGAGCGTCCAAAAGTGCCTGACAAATGTTGAGCCTTCCACTTCATTGTGGAGAACAGCTGCAGCGCATCAGGAGGCGTCCCTCAACTTCCGTTTCTTCTCTCTCCTGCAGTCAAAGGGGCCGGGCTGGATTACCAAATAGGCAGAGTAGGCACTGCTCTATGGGCCCCACACTCTTTAGGGGTCCCACAACCATGGATCAAAATAATATTGATCTTGAAAGAAAACGACAATCAAGCTTTCTTAGTTCAATTTTATTCCAGCGTATGCACAAGGCCTGCCTCCCACCCAGATTTTGACCGCCAAGGGGCCTCCACAGGGTTTAATCCACCACTGCCCCTTGAACGGCCCAGTATACCTGAAGGAGCATCTCCACCCCCATCGTCCAGCCTGGACACTGAGGTCCACCTCTGAGGGCCTTCTGGTGGTTCCCTCATTGCAAGAAGTGAGCTTACAGGGAACCAGGCAGAGGGCCTTCTCGGTGGTGGCACCCGCCCTGTGGAACGCCCTCCCATCAGGTGTCAAGGAAATAAACAACTATCTGACTTTTAGAAGACACCTGAAGGCAGAGGCGTAGGAAGGGGGGTGCGGGCTGCCCCGGGTGTCATCACTGAGGGGGGTGACAAAATGGCAAAAATACGTGTTTTTAAAAAAATAAATAAATAAATAAATAAATTCCAAGGTAAGGGACGCTGCGCCGCGCCACCCCTGCCTGGGCAGCTGCCTCAGAGCAACTGAAGGAGATGCTGGCTGCCGCGCTGCTGCTATTGCAGGAGGAGGAAGAGGGAAAAGAAGAGGAGGGGGCGAAAGGAGGCGGGGCTGGGGCACACTGCATGCCTGCCTCTCCTCGCGCTCCTGCTCTGGCCTTGGCTGGCGTGAGGGGAGAGCCCATAAAGGGGGCTGCCGGCGGGGAGCGCCGCCTACGCAAAGAGCGCCAGTGACACGCAGGGGGCGGGGAGGCCAGGCCGCTGAGAGGCTCTGGGTGGCGTAGCGGGTGCGAGGGGGGGGGGCATGTGGGGAAGCTGGGAGGAAGCACCCCCAGCTGGAAACACCCATAGACATTTCAGTTGCCGCACAACTGGGGTGGGGAGAGGGCAAGATGCAATAATATCGTAAGAGATTAGATTGGGAAATTTTCAGACAGGATTGATGGAAGTCAAAAAAAATGAATAAGATGTAAAAGTATGTTTAATTATATATATATATATATATGATGCAATTATATTGTGCCTTTCAAAGGTTTGTACATCGCACTAGCAAAGGTGCAAGATCTTGCTGGTGGGTAAAGATGTATTGGAACAGGGGTCAGCAAACTTTCAGCAGGGGGCCGGTCCATTATCCCTCAGACCTTCTGGGGGGCCGGACTATATTTTGAAAAAATATATATGTACGAATTCCTATGCCCCACAAATAACCCAGAGATGCATTTTAAATAAAAGGACACATTCTACTCATGTATAAACACACTGATTCCTGGACTGTCCGCGGGCTGGATTTAGAAGGTGATTGGGCCGGATCCAGCCCCCGGGCCTTAGTTTGCCTACCCATGTATTGGAAAGTATATGCTTGAGGGTTTCCTCAAGGCATCAATATTGTGCTTCTCCATATAAATCCACTCTGTAAAAGTTTCTGCTTACAGCATCTACTACTATGCTATAAGATCCACTGTCCCGTGTTATCATATATGGTATGTACAGTTGTTGACAGTTTTTATATAATTTTTGCTGTAAAAATGTGTGAGATTACAGTATTTTATTTATTTGCATTACCTGGATTTTGTACTACTGATGAAGCCCAAGATGGTGAAACAAGGCTAATATTCCGGAAATATTGTCTTAAGACTTTGTGAAAGGATTCTGTGGAACTGCAACAACCTTTTGTGTGTATTGTTGGACTCTATGAACAGACAGGTGGAATAGACACTTTCACATAGATGGACCTTATGCATAAACTGATTAGAGAATGAACTGATCCACTGGGTCTTCTACTTTTTCCCATTGAACTTTATGAGCGACTTCTGCTGAAATCTACAATTCAATATAATGAATAGTATATATATGAATAGTATACAGCCGGTTACGTCTTGTGTGTTTATAGAATATGCTTCACGTAACCAGAGGTTTGTTGTTGTTTTGAGGGTTTCCTGTAGGCATCTAGCTGGCCACTGTGAGAACAGGATTCTGTTCTAGGTGGGATTCAGCAGGGCTCTTCTCAGCGGCGTAGTTAGCCGCTCGGGTGCCGAGTGCGGAATGTGTGCCCTGCAAGCTGCCCATGGGGGTGCGGCATGCTGCGTGGAGCCTCTCCGCCACCTCCCCTCAGCTGTAGGGCGGCGGAGGGAGACGTGGAGGGCAGGCGCAAGTCCCACGCTGCCGTTCCAGGCAGCGCGGAGCCTGCAGGCCCCCAAGTCACTACGTCACTCCCGTGAGAGACGCATGGCTCGGGCACGCTGCAGGCCCCGCGGTAAGTGTCGGCCCCTGCAGTGTGGCGCCCAGTGCATAGCTGTCAACTGTCCCTTATTTGGCGGGAAACTCCCTTATCCCAGCGCCGTGTCCCGCTGCTGTCCCTTATTGATGATGTCCCTTAAATTTCCCGGGTTTCATGCTCGCCCGGCTCGGGAGGGAAGCAGCGGCTCGGGGGTCCTCCGCCTCGGGAGAGAGCGCGCACAAGCTGCCGCATCTCCGTCTCTTCCTTTCTCCCCTCAGGGACGCATTGTGAGGAGATGGGTGGCGGCGGGCGGGCAGGCAGCCCCTCTCTTGAGAGATTTCTGCTGCGCTGCTAGGGGAAGCTGGAGGCGGCAGCGGCGGCTGAGGAGGCGGCCTGAGGGAGGAGGAAGAGGAGGGGATGGGGAGGGACGCAGAAGGGCGGCGCTTCAGGGCCACAGTGGCGCCACAACCGCCTCATGCCGGGCTCGCGGGTGGCGTGGGCAAGAGTCTCTCTCCCTCTCGTGTGGGGAAGGGCTGGTGGAACTCCTTGCGCCAGGACGACGGCAGCCCCGCCGTGCTGCTTAGCATACCCTCCAACCAGTGCAGCATCTTAAGGTAGTGATTTCGCCCTCTGCATCCCTTTCATAACTCTATTTTTATAAATCATTTGTCCATCCATAGTTCCAATTTTTACTACAAGTTTTCTGTCAACCCTACCAATGTATGTAACTCTTGACAATAGCTTTTCAACTAAATTATAAACTTTCCCATTCTTTATTAAAGAGGTCCTCTTCCTGGTTTCTAATTCTGCCTGTAAGCTTTGCCATCTCGACGCCGTTCATCAGTTTTGTCTGCCACTCTTCTTTGGTCGGAGTTGTAGACCCTTAGGATCATCTAGTCCAACCCCCTGCAAAACACAGTCAGTCGCAGTAAAAGCAGCATGGCTCCATCAGTGCGGGATTTCTGTATAAGCTAAGCAAAATCCCTTATTTTGGCTGCTGATCCCTTATTTTTGAGGCTGCTGGTCCCTTATTTTCAAATCTGTAAGTTGACAGCTATGGCCCTGTGCCAGCCGCGTTTTGTAACGTTTGTTGACTGAACTCCAAAGTTTTGTGAGCCCATTAAAAACAACAAGAACCCTCATATTTTTGTCATTTTGTTAACCCCCCCTCAATGATGGCACTCGGGGCGGCCCGCACCCCCCTTCCTCCGCCACTGGCTCCTTTTGTATTCTAGGTCAGCTCTTTTAAGAGTGGGGGCATATCCACACTGGTGCTTGTTTTTTGCAGTTGTACTAAGGGAGCTGGGCATGTTTAGCCTGGAGAAGAGGAGGTTAAGGGGTGATATGATAGCCATGAGGATGTCATATAGAGGAGGGAGAAAGGTTGTTTTCTGCTGCTCCAGAGAAGCGGACACGGAGCAATGGATCCAAACTACAAGAAAGAAGATTCCACCTAAACATGAGGAAGAACTTCCTGACAGTAAGAGCTGTTTGACAGTGGAATTTGCTGCCAAGGAGTGTGGTGGAGTCTCCTTCTTTGGAGGTCTTTAGGCAGAGGCTTGACAACCATATGTCAGGAGTGCTCTGATGGTGTTTCCTGCTTGGCAGGGGGTTGGACTCGATGGCCCTTGTGGTCTCTTCCAACTCTATGATTCTATGATTCTATTCTATGATTCTACTCACACAGCACCTCAGCTGCCTGTAGCCCACATCAACAGTAGGCTGCAAAATGGCAAAATTAAGGAAAAAAATTCATTCATAAGAAATTCCCATCGTGAAAAAATGATTTTAAGTGCTTATGCTCACAATGTTAAGTAAATAAACCAGAAAACAACACTTGCAATTGTAAGTATCTTATTTTCCCTTCTTTTAACAATTTCAATGTGGGGGGGGTGACAAGAAATTTTCCCCACTGGGTACCACCTGACCTTCCTACGCCACTGGATACATGAAATACTATGCGAAAGCGAAGGTTTGCTCTTGAAAAGACTCTTTAGAGACTGAGAAATGAAATGAGAGGCGAAATTACATTCAACTTTCCTTTTTTATTTTGAGGCCAGGCAAAGAAAGGCAAAGCGGTGTTGGTTTGTTTCACATCTTTTAACAGCCGCAGCTGCCAAGCAAACATAATAATAATACAGAAACTAGGAGATAAAGAAGCTTTTCCTCAAAATATCAAATCGTGTAAACGTATAGCTTGTGAAATCAGCAGGAATAATAGCAATCATAAAAAAAGATTTAAAGAAAAAGTTTAAGCTTTTAAAATCCTGGCTATAAAATTGCATAAGAGCTGAATGTTAAAAGACTGGGCAAGTTTACAACAATATATCTTTGTAAAAACTCAATAAATTATATATATTTATATATAACGCTTATATATTTATAATATCTAAATGAACTCAGGCACACATTTGTACATTGTTCTGGATTGAACAGTGACTTTTCAGATTCTTGGAATGTACAAAACTAGCATACACTGTAGGAAAATACAATAATTCTTTATTGCAAAAAGTAGTTATCTATATAAATCTATATATATATATATATTTATTTAAAAAAACACTCTTTGAAACTTCACTATAAATTAACTATTTTGATAAAATCCTTATTATAGAATGAGTACCAAACTGGAATGGGGACTAACTTGTTACTTCAGTGAAATTTACGATCTGGAGATGGAAGAAACATCTCAGGATCACTATAGACATCTTTCTCTGTGGTGGGAAGAGTTAAAAGGTCCTAGCATTTACAATTCTATTGGTCTTATTCCATTTTGCATGTCTCCTGGTTATCGAAAGTGCTTTGACAGAATCGTCTAGCACACATAGTTTTTCAATGTACAACACAGGGCGCTATTGCCATTCCACCCCACCCTTCCAAACGAAATGTTAGGCTCAAAGACTACAATCAAACTTTCCCTACTTATAATTTAAATATTATTTTATCCCCATTTCTCCAGCAGGAAAATATAAATGGGACTGGTAAGAGGGGGGCGGGGAGGGAACCCTCAAACACACACATCATTTGCTGTCAACTTTCAGCTTCGCTGCATACCTGTCATCAAGTCCACCACAAAGAACACCTTCATTCAAAAAATATAAAAAATGCACTCGCTCCCACCCCCTCCCTTAATGCACAGTGGTAAAAGCGATGAAAGATTTCTTAGTTCTTACACAGAAGTAAAAAAAATCTCTGCTGCCATCTGTTTGGATTTAACACTAATGTATTACAGAGTGCATATATACTTACTGCAACCTAGGGAAAACTTGTTTGTTTTATTTGAAAAGAAAAATCTAGTATTAACAGTGATTTGTTATACGACTGTACAACTATACATTCTTTTAATATTTCCCACAAACTCAGAAGAAAAAATATTGATTAATTTATCTTTCCATACTTTCAATAAGTTAAAACCTCAGATTTTGTGAAAAAATTAATGTATACATTAACACTAAACAATTTAAACCGAGGAACAGAATATGTTAACATCTATAAATAATTTTACAAATATACATGATGTTAAAATATATTTTTTTTAAACACAAGAAAGCAGGCGAGATAAAAAAACAACCACCCTCTTAAATCAGTATGTTCTAGATAGAAAGGTTTGAGACTTGGAGAAGTTCTTTTTCCGCCTGGCTAGCGGCTGCATTAATGGTTTCCACACACACACATAAAAACAACGCGAGCGAATAGGAACTTTTTGTGATACGTTAAAAGGAGCTTTGTTTACAGGTACCCGTAATTACGTTCTCCAAGTATCTGCTGGTAGAGGAAAAGAACCTTTGGGGGAAAAGGTTGTGGGAATTCGTTGCGAGAAATTTGACGCCCCATTGTAGAATTTCTAAACACACTGGAAAGTCGGAAAATAAATAGAGCACGTAGCAAGATTTGGGTCCAACACTGCTTACAATATATAAGCAACCCGCTGGAAAAATATAGAACAAGTTCACCACAATGCAATCATACACAAAAAGTGACACCCCCCCGTTGTTGTTTTTTTAAATTACACCTTGCAACACCTCCAGTCAAGTTCTTTCCTGTCTGCATATATTATTTTAATCTGTTCCTGAATCTAGTGCAAGAGACAGCTAATTCTTCACTGTGGCCAATTCAAGGCAACTTTTTAAGTGGACTAATACTTTTTAAGAGTGACGAACTCTTCAGAATGGCTTTCAAATTCCTCCAAAGCGGATGGTGAATATATATCTATATATTCCCAAAGATATATACATAAATGTATGAATCCCTGCAGGCAATGGGGCTTCCGAGCTCCACCCAAAAGATTAATGTGATGATTGCATTCTGAAAAGGAATTCCTACATTCTTTACATGCTTTTCTCTTTAAAAGATGGGAAAAAACCCCCACTTCCCACCCTGGTACTGCAGGCACAGAAAAATCACAGTGGAAATCTGATTGGAGGCTGCGGGTTCGGCACCCTCTAGGTAAGGCATTGTCTGCCTGGATGCTGCTAACCTGCACAAAATTCGTTCCTTCAGACCAAACAGTGCTGGCGCTGGTTCCTTTTTTCAAATAACAAAACGGGGGGAATTTGTACGGCTTCGCAGCAAGACAAATATTCTGTGCCACGGAGCAGAGTAATGAAATCCTCCCTCAGGTTTTTCTCCCGGACTTCCCCAAGATGTACATTCACGAGTCTCTTCCTTGCGGGTGTCTGCCATCATGTCCTGACGATGCCGTTTCCTTGCTGTTTGGGAAGACAGGGTTCATCGGAGAGAAGATCGTGTGCAAATACAGAGTCGTCTCCTGAAGAGCAGGCACTCTGGGTATCCTGGTCCGCAGGCGAATATTGCTCAAAAGGCACCGACAGGTCAATGTACTCCTGCAAGAAGAACAATGGCACGGATAATAAGAGAGGGAGAAATCGGTGACTCTTTCGTAGCGCTACCTCATGCCTTAGGTTAGAACTGGGAGTTCCACGTCTTGGTTGCAAAATACCCTGGTCTCTGCCCATGAAGATCTGTGGTGAGGGCTGCTATGATTCCAAGCACCGGTAGTGGTTGCATTGCTGACCTCATTTCCCATGATGCCACACGCGTACCAGAGCAGCGCACGGAAATGCCGTTTACCTTCCCGCCGGAGCGGTACCGGTTTATCTACTTGCACTTTGACGTGCTTTCAAACTGCTAGGCTGGCAGGAGCAGGGACCGAGCAACGGGAGCTCACCCTGTCACGGGGATTCGAACCGCCAACCTTCTGATTAGCAAGACCTAGGCTCTGTGGTTTAACCCACAGCGCCACCCGCGTCCCTTCTATGTTTGTATAGACTTATGGGAACCATTGGAAATGAATATGAGAAGCATTAGAAGTATGAGATGATCAGGTCCCCTCCGACCTCAGAGCATGGTGAAGTCTCCTTGAAAAATTTATAATTTGGCATAATATTTGGATTGTTTAATTACTGAATAATTTGTATAATTCGGAATGTATGATGTGTTTTGATTGGAATGTTAAAATGGAAAAATTAATAAATATTATTAAAACACACACAACTGTATTTAATTTGTGACGTTTCAATGTTGTGTAATGGCAATGCAAACATATCCTCTCTGAGTTATAATGAAACTTAAAAGTGAAAGAAAGAAAAATGTATTATCTCGTGGGGCTGACTGCTAACATATTTACTCCCTTCACACGGTCTAGAGCACTGTAAGACTCACGCTTGTTTGAATAAAGCATCTAAACTTTGAGAGGCAGGTGCAAATTAGCCCCAGTGTGCCAGAAAGTAAGGCAATACTCACATCAGTTGAGGTCACTATCAGGACTCTATCCAGGTCTTCAACTAGTTGCTTAAAGGTTGGCCGCTGGGAAGGTACAGCATGCCAGCACTCCCTCATAATCATGTACCTGGGGAAAGTTGGGGGAGAAAGTAGGGCAAATGTTTAGGAAGGACATGGGCATTCAGCAGTGGCTGGGGTTGCGCTTGCTGCAGATGGGATTCCAAAATCATACAGTCAAAAAGAAACGGAAGGCCGTGAAACAGAAGCTTGAGCCAAACGCTATCCTACGAAACAGCAGCGAGAGATATAAAACGGACAAAAGGACTGGAACGGTTCCTTGTTTTTATGCACGCATGTGCACACACACGGCCAGACTTTCTAACGATTCACCAAAGAGCGGTCGGCTTAAAATGAAAGGAAATAAAAGAGTTTCAATCACTCATTGCTACTCATCACTGTGAAGCTGAAGGGAGACAAACCGAGGCCAGAGTCCAAGAGCCCCTGAGAGACTGCCTGCCTTTCCCCTGGGAATATTGTCCTGTCAGGAAGCAGACCAGCCTGGTCCCTTCCACTGATTGGAGAAGGAGTAGCTGCGCCAATGTTTTCTTTCCTCCTCCCTCCCCACTTTTTTCATTTCTATTGTGTGCTTTGGTTTGTTCTCACGGCTCACAATCATTCCATGTGCAAAGCAGCATTCAAAATCCAACTAAGCCTGGTGAAAAATAGGTTTGTGATGCTCACTATGCCATGACTGAGAGTTGGGCTGGACCCAAAGTGGAGTCAAGACAAACCAGCCAACTATAGAAACTGCAGTTGCGAGTAAGTCTGCCTTATAGTATTTTATTGAAGGTATCAGCTGCAGTTTCTATGGTTGGTTGGTTGACTTCACCCTACTTTTGAGTCTAGCCCAACTCTCAGTCATGGCATAGCAATAGCTTTACGTGGCTATCAAAACATCAAGAAACCTTTACTGTGTGTGTGTGCACACATGAAAGCAAGAGGAAGGCCCTTCATAACAGGGATTGATGAACAGCGTTTGGTAGAGGTGACACCAAGAGATATATACACACAAAGAGAGAGAATGTGGGACTGAAGCAGTTGAATTAAAGACAACCCCTTCTCCTCAGACTCAGAAACACGTCTCACAAAAATGGAAGTTCTTTCCAGACTGACAACTTACAAATCATGGGTGCAGTTTGCTGGCTTATCCATGCGATGGCCTTCCTTTAGGAGCTTGAAGAGTTCCTCAACTGGAATTCCTGGGTAGGGGGAGCCTCCCAAAGTGAAGATCTCCCATAGCAGCACTCCGAAGGACCATCTGGGAACCAAAGGTTTTAGAATTCAATGAGACTTTTGGGAAAGGAGATGGAGGCGGGGGCTTCCGTTTTGTTTCTGGGCAGCCATGCACAGCTAACAAGTCATCAATAGAATGACTAATTGCCTGAGCCATTTTATTTTTTTACTAGGCACTTGCAGATCTCTGTTGAGGCAGCTCAATAGAAATCCCAGACACCTAGTCTGAAATTAAGATGAGCATTTAATCAGGTAGCTGACAGCCTGTCTATTACTCTTTGTTAAGTTTTCCACTACATCGGTGAATTCAAAATTATTCATGCACATATTGACAAGATCCCGTCTCAGCTTGGCGTTACAATTGTTCCCATGACTTTGTGTTTCGTGTTTTTTTGCTTTCGCTGTTTAAAACCGCGGGCAGTGCTTACACATCACTCTGGTGCGTATACACACGGTCAAACAATGCTTCTGGAGCCATCCATTTCACAGGCAGTCGACCCTGTAATTTAGGGAGATGAAAAGGAAAGATCCATCAGCAATTTCACCCAGCCATTCTGGCACCAACTGAACATTCAACTATAATCCAGTCTGAAACATTTTCCTTAGTGACCAGGCCAAACAAATAATGAACATGGGTGAACTGATCAAGCTATTTGACCCCCACAGTCCACATTTACTTTCTCTTCATACTAATTGCATCCTTCAGTGCAAGGTGTTTAGTGCCCTGAAGTCATATGACATCCCTCACCTCAAGGGGTCATGGGAGAAGGCTTTGCCCACTATGCTGTCTCTGCTGTCCTTCTCTCCTAACCCTCTGACCACACTCTTTCCCTCCTCCCTGACACAGGCAGTGTAGAGACAAAGGCTTCGCAGCCACAAACACAACGCAGTATGAGATGGTGCAGAGGTACCTTGGTTTTCAAACAGAATGCGTTCCGGGAGTCCGTTCGACTCCCGGAACCCTTTGAAAACCAAAACGCGGCTTCCGATTGGCTGCAGGAACGTCCTGCAGCCAATCGGAAGCTGCACCGGACATTCAGCTTCCGAAAATCATTCAAAAACTGGAACACTCTTCCGGGTTTCGATCGTTCGGGAGCTGATTTGTTCAGGAGCCAAGGCATTCGGCTTCCAAGATATGACTGTGTTTGAGTACAGTGCAGTGTTAGGAATGCAGATATATAAGCTAGGCACCAAATGGCTCCTAAAACCAAGGTTACAGTCTCGAAAACAGAATGCCTAGTTGCCATTTTGGGCGTAAGACGACTCTAAAGTCTTATTTTTAAATGATGGGCTGACTGTGATTGATTCTCAGTTAAATGTCTGGCTATTTCAGATGACTACCTTGAGCTAGGTTAAGAACTTCGAGAAATTGAAGGAAAGTCACTTGGTTCAGGGACAGTCCACATATATATTGACCTATTCCTACCTATTTTTCTTAATGGTGACACGGACCATTCATAGTGTTAGGAATATTCTTCACAACTGTGAGCAGGGTGGGGTAAGTGAAGACAAGCTACAACAATTAACTATAATCTCATTCACTGAAAAAAGCATTTTGGTTCCTGAAATTCATTCCAATTGTGCCACACTTTTAACATTTGAAAAAAAGCTACCAGTCTGCGCAACCTTGAGTACGCCCAGAAAAAAAAGCACTGAGTATTTGCCGAGTACAGCTATACCTATTGCCAGATGCAGCTGAGACTGCGACTACTTCTCTGTTAAAATGAATAAATCACATGGCTGAAGAAGTTTGACTTTTGAATAATTCCTTTGTTAGATCCCTTTTCTGCTTGTAGTATATATATATATATATTAATTCTCAGCTTTTGTCAGAAATGTTTTTCTGAAAGTTGGGATAGTTTTTAATGTTAGTTGAAGAATAAATGTGTTATTTCTAGCCTATCCTGTTCAAAATACTGAACAAAATTAGATTGGGTTTTGTTTGCGGACTTGAAACTGAAAGGTGTCCAGAATGTGTGTAACAAGTTGTATTAATCTCTCTCTCAGAAGCCAACTGAGTTACTGACTTACAAAACAGAAAACAGTGAACATTCAAGTAAAACCCAGGGCCTCACTTTCACTTGAATCGCTAAAAAAGAATGCAATGCAAAGCTATTTAATGCCCACAAGATGTCCAGCTCTTTAAGTAACCACAATAGCTTCATGTTTGAGAGCTTTTCACTCACATTGGTTGTCTTCTTGTAATAATCAATGTTGTGAACATCTCTGGCAAGGCCAAAGTCAGCTATCTTCATCACATTGTCTTCCGTGACCAAAACATTTCTAGCTGCCAAGTCCCTATGGATACACTGAAAAAGAATGGGGGAGGGGGGGACCCAAGAAACGTGCATTAATTAAGATGTTTACAAAATGAAATAACGAGCATGTATTGTTTATGAGCCGCTGCATCATCTAAATTCTAAATTCGAGGCAGCGGGGAGCCATTTAATCCTTTGTGCAGAATGAACTGCTTTGTAGCAACCTATTTGTTGACGGAAGGTTGGTAGCTGAGGTTGGTGATCTTCCTTGCTCTTTTCTTTTGCACCTTCAACCTTGAGAGTGCGAAGGAGACGTTGAGGGGAATTGCAAAAGGTTGCAAGTATCAGCGAGGGGTGGGCATTGCAAAGTCTTCCTGCCCTCCCCCTTTCAACCTCTGATGCTGGGATTTTGACAGGTGGGCAGGGCAACCCACCAATCGTGTGAGGTCACAATAACACCACATTATTGACATGTGGATTGCCCCACCCATCTGTTAATGTTGACCTATGAAGAGAGAGCCAAAAAGGTTCCTGGGCCGTGTTCAGAAAGTGGTGTTGGGGGATGAGTGTTCAGACCCCTGGGCTCTCACTTGTGGGGTGCCTCAGGGTTCTGCCCTCTCCCCCATGCTTTTTAACATCTACATGCTGGGAGAGATAATCAGGGGGTTTGGGCTGGGTGTTCGTCAGTGTGCGGATGATACCCAGCTCTACCTCTCTTTCAAATCAGAACCAGCGAAGGTGGTGAAGGTCTTGTGTAAGTGTCTGGAGGCGGTTGGAGGATGGATGGCGGCTAAAAGATTGAGGTTGAATCCTGACATGACTGAAGTACTGTTTTTGGGAGACAGGGGGCGGGTGGGTGTGGGGGATTCCCTGGTCCTGATTGGAGTAACTGTGCCCCTGAAGGACCAGGTGCGCAGCATGGGAGTAATTTTGGACTCACAGTTGTCCATGGAGGCGCAGGTTAATTCTGTGTCCAGGGCGGCTGTCTACCAGCTCCACCGCAGGCTGAGACCCTACCTGCCTGCGGACTGTCTTGCCAACGCGGTGCATGCTCTAGTTATCTCTCGCTTGGACTACTGCAATGTGCTCTATGTGGGGCTACCTTTGAAGGTGACCTGGAAACTACAACTAATCCAGAATGCGGCAGCTAGAGTGGTGGCTGGGGGCGGCCGCCGAGACCACATAACACCGATCTTGAAAGATGTACTTTGGCTCCCAGTACATTTCCAAGCACAATTCAAAGTGTTGGTGCTGACCTTTAAGCTCTAAATGGCCCCAGCCCAGTATACCTGAAGGAGGATCTCCACCCCCATCGTTCTGCCCAGACACTGAGGTCCAGTGCCGAGGGCCTTCTGGCGGTTCCCTTGCTGCAATAAGCCAAGTTACAGGGAATCAGGCAGAGGGCCTTCTCAGTAGTGGCGCCCTCCCTGTGGAACGCCCTCCCACCAGATGTCAAAGAGAAAAACAACTACCAGACTTCTAGAAGATATCTGAAGGCAGCCCTGTTTAGGGAAGCTTTTAACGTTTGACGGGCTATTGTATTTTAGTATTTTGTTGGAAGCTGCCCAGAATGGCTGGGGAATAAATAATTTATTATTATTATTATTATTATTATTATTATTATTATTATTATTCCTTGTACCTGGTCTAAGGGATTTGTGTTGGGGGTTTTTCCTCCCGCAAGGTCTAGGGAGATGGACGGCTGGGTGGAGTTGGCAAACAGGGGGACAACCCCTAGTTTCTTATAAAGCTGCATGCTACTTACTTTCTGAGATGCCAGGTACTCCATCCCTCGTGCCACCTGGTAGGCACAGGAGACTAAGTCTTTAAATGTTAACTGTTCCTCTGGCAGCTTGCAGGTATCGAAAGAGTAATCCATGCCAGGTGGCCGGCGGGCTCTAAGGTATTCTCGCAAGTTCCCCTTTGATGCATATTCCACCAGCACATAGAGAGGACCTGGAGTAAAAACAATATATTTTTATCCAAAACGAACTCTTTCCTACTGACAAGCTACCATTCTGATGAGTGGCAAGAAGATATTTCTGTATGTCTCCTGGCTTGTTCCTCCCCCTCTGAGTCCAGAAGGTAGGCACTTCTTCTCCACCACCATCAGATGAAACAAACACACACAAAACCCAGCAACAACGGTGCCAAAGTAGAGGGTGACAGTGTGGAGGTGGGTGGAAGCTCTGGGGGCCTTTCAAATATACCAGCAGCTCTGTATAGTTTGCTAGGTCCTGCCCACCTACCAAATTTAGTCCACCAAGGGATGGGGAGGTAACAATCTGGCCTGCCAGCCAGAAAAAGCCCCCTGCTCCTGGTCTATAGCAGAGGACTCAAAGCATCCATGAAACTCATTTAAGCCACTAAACAGAAGCCCATTTAGACTGTGGTAATCTGGCACGTCTCTTCCAGAATGGAAGACTTTCGGCTTCTCACAGAGATTGCAGCAAAGAGGCATGAGGGAGAGCTATAAGGTAAAGGTAAAGGGACCCCTGACCATTAGGTCCAGTCGTGAATGACTCTGGGGTTGTGGCGCTCATCTCGCTTTATTGGCCGAGGGAGCCGGCGTACAGCTTCTGGGTCATGTGGCCAGCATGACTAAGCCACTTCTGGTGAACCAGAGCAGCGCACGGAAACGCCGTTTACCTTCCCGCCGGAGCGGTACCTATTTATCTACTTGCACTTTGGCGTGCTTTTGAACTGCTAGGTTGGCAGGAGCAGGGACCGAGCAACGGGAGCTCACCCCATCGTGGGGATTTGAACCGCCGACCTTCTGATCAGCAAGTCCTGCCTCTATGGTTTAACCCACAGCGACACCCGCGTCCCATGGGAGAGCTATAGATGCATGCAAATTGTAAACACTGAAAACAGACCAGGCAACAGTATGTATAATATGACCACCTTCATCAACTGCCACAACCATGAGCTCTGGGAACATACCATCCTGTGTGCAGGCCCCCAAGAGATTAATGATGTTCTTGTGCTTCCCAATCATCTTCATCATTTCCATTTCTGAGACTAAGTCAGAAAGATCTTTGTCCGTGGCATCATCTATACAGGAAAGGGAAAAGAAGCAATCAGGAAAAGCAGAGTTTTATTATGTGCCATGGATGGAATTCACTCATTGCCATACAGCCCATGTCTACTCATACTTTGGCGCACATACCGTATTTTTCGCTCCATAGGACGCACCTTTTTCCTCCTATAAAGTAAGGGGAAATGTGAGTGCATCTTATGGAGTGAATGGCGCTGTGCAGAGAGGTAGAGCTGCGCAGCGCCCCTTCAGCAAAGTGGGAGGAGGAACGGAGCCCCTTCTTCGCAGAAGAGGCGCTGCGCAGAGAAGGAGAACTGCGCAACGCCCCTTCAGCCACGTGCCTGCCTGGACGCTGGAGGAGGAACAGAAGGGACTCCTTCTATTCCTCCTCCAGCTTCGCAGCGAGGCATCTGTCCTGCGAAGCTGGAGGAGGAGCAGAAGGGACTCCTTCTGTTCCTTCTCCAGCTTCACTTGAAGGGGTGCTGCGCAGAGAGGGAGAACTGCGCAGCGCCCTTTCAGCGATGCGCCGTCCTGGCTTCTGCCTTAGCCGTGTGCGGCCTCTTCGGGCAGGGGGAGCCTTCATCCCGCTGCCCTGAAGAGGCTTGGCGCGGTTATCCCAGAAGCCAGAACAGCCACACGGTATCCCAGAAGCAAGGTCCCTCTTGCTGTTCTGGCTTCTGGGATTCAAAATATTTTTTTTCTTGTTTTCCTCCCCCCCCCAAACTAGGTGCGTCTTATCATCTGGTGTGTCCTATAGAGCGAAAAATACGGTACTTCAAGAACACCCCAAGTTCTTTGTTTGCTGCTTTGCACTGGAACTGGCTGCATATATGACCAGTAACCTCTGTCCCCATGAGGTGCCTCTCATCAAAGCCCGGTACACCAACTTGGTGCAATAAAGGATGCTTCCAGATGTGGTCCTGCCAGCTATGGATGATGGGGATTGTAGTTCAAAAACAGATGGAGTCCCAGGAACACGACAAGGTTGCCCGATTTCCCCTTTGTTATTCATTTCGGTCCTGGAGGTGCTCTTGAATATGATTAGAGGGGACCGGTTGGTGGAAGGGATTCAGGTCGGAGCCAAACAGTACAAACTTAAAGCTTTTGCAGATGACCTGGTTTTGACATTGCAGGAACCAGACTCTAGTACGAAAAGAGTTTTGGAACTGATTCAAGAGTTTGGTCGGTTGGCGGGTTTTAAACTAAATAAGCAGAAGACAAAGGTTTTGGGGAAAAATTTGACAACTGAGGAATCAGAAAGGTTTCAGAAAGAGACAGATTTAAAAATTGCTAAGAAGGTGAAATACCTAGGGGTTAATATGACTTCTAAAAACTTGAATCTATTTAAGGATAATTATGAAAAGTGTTGGACAGAAATTAAGAAGGACTTAGAAACTTGGTCAAGACTGAAACTCTCCTTGTTGGGTAGAATTGCTGTGATAAAAATGAATGTATTGCCAAAGATGTTATTCTTGTTTCAGACCCTACAGATCGTGGACAGAGTGGAATGTTTTACAAAATGGCAGAGAGATATTTCTAAGTTTGTCTGGCAGGGCAAAAAGCCCTGAATAAAATTTAAAATTCTAACTGATGCTAAAGAGAGAGGGGGGTTTGCCCTGCCAGATTTGAGGCTGTATTATGAATCTGCAGCTTTCTGCTGGTTGAAGGATTGGCTTTTACTTGAGAACACTGATGTCCTAGATCTGGAAGGGTTTAATAATGCTTTTGGATGGCATGCATACTTGTGGTACGACAAGGTAAAAATTCATAAAGCTTTTAAAAACCATATTGTCAGAAAAGCTGTGTTTAATGTCTGGGCAAAATACAAAGACTTATTAGAAAACAAGACCCCAAGGTGGCTGTCATCAATGGAAGCCAAGGCCCCGAAAAGACTCAATATGGAGGCCAATTGGCCGAAATATTGGGAGATAATAGAAAAAGAAGGTGATACTTGGAGATTGCAGAGTTTTGAGAAATTAAAGGGTAAAGTGCGAGATTGGTTACATTATGCTCAGATCAAGGAGGTCTTTAACTTGGATAAGAAAACAGGTTTCCAGGTGGAAAAATCGAAATTAGAAACAGAACTGTTAGAACCTAAGACTAAGGTACTTTCTAAAATGTATAACTTGCTGTTGAAATGGAATACCCAGGATGAAACTGTCAAATCAGCTATGATAAAATGGGCACAGGACATTGGGTATAATATTATGTTTGCTGACTGGGAAAAGTTATGGACCACCGGAGTGAGGTTCACGGCATGTAATGCCTTGAAAGAAAACATTATGAAAATGATATATAGGTGGTACATGACCCCAGTTAAGCTGGCAAAAATATATCACTTGCCCGATAACAAATGTTGGAAATGTAAAGAAGCTGAAGGAACATTCTTTCACCTTTGGTGGACGTGCCCAAGGGTTAAGGCTTTCTGGGAAATGATTTATAATGAATTAAAAAAGGTATTTAAGTATACCTTCCTTAAGAAACCAGAGGCCTTCCTTCTGGGCATTGTCGGCCAAGGGGTGCTAAAGAAGGATAGAACTTTCTTTTTGTACGCAACAACAGCAGCAAGAATACTCATCGCAAAGTACTGGAAGACACAGGATTTGCCCACTCTGGAAGAATGGCAGACGCAACTGATAGACTACATGGAACTGGCTGAAATGACTGGCAGAATTCGAGACCTGGGAGAAGAGACGGTGGAAGAGGATTGGAAAAGATTTAAAGATTATTTACAAAAACACTACAAATTGTATGAATGCTAGGAGAATGCACGATTGAAAGAAACATGGTAGCAGCAAAATTATTGCAAGATATATGAGAATATGTGTCGTCTATGGTAACGTTGAAATTTGAAGCAATGTTTGGTTCAATATAAGCAGTTGAACTTATGACTAATATAATATTAAAGTTGAAATTGAATATTTGAGATTTATAAAATAAGAATGGAAGTAAGGTAACAAATTGCTGCATATAACTACATGGTTGGGAACGCAGGGAAGGGGGATGTGAGGAAGTCCAAAGTTTATGAAAATATGATTCATGAATACTTTTATTCTATTTGTATTTTCTTTTTAGATTCTTACTATTTCTTATAATCTTATTCTGATGCTTCTTTGTTTCTTATCTGTTTGATGTTATTTTTGTTGTTTGAAAAATTTCAATAAATATTTTATAAAAAACAAACAAACAAAAACAGATGGAGTCCCAAGTTTGGGGAACTCTGGATTACACCATACAGTGGGCTCAGGTGCCTAGTAAGGCCTTCCAATAATTAAATAAAATTATTATTATTATGCCAAATTTAACCTGACTTTTCAGTGACATGCTTAAGCAGGAGAAGGAGCTGGATGAACACAGTCAAGTAGAGCTGCTCTTCTGCTTAAACACTGACAATGATTCAAAACTGTCACAACAGAAATAATATAAGACTTCTGGTTGAAGGATGAGGAGAGCCACCAATTTGAATTAAATTATTCCTGCACCGCATACACCGCGTACTATTTCCTCTCTATCTTATTTCCTCCCTTTCAGCAGCTTGAAAATAAATGCAGACATAAACAAACGGGGCAAGAAGCAGCCATTGGGGCTTCTTTTCTTTTAAGACCACTTGTGAGGTGAAACTAGAGGAAGCGTCACAGAAGAACTAGAGGGTGTAGCCTGTGGCCTGACATAAGGTTATAAAGAGCTAGGACAGCTTGGCAAGGGGGTGGACAAGCTAAGCGAAGTCTGAGAGATGGCACAGCAGGCGGGAAACATAGCTGTCAACTTACAGATTTGAAAATAAGGGATCAGCAGCCAAAATAAGGGATTTTCCGGGCACATGTATGTTCAACTTCTGAGCCCCTCCGAGCTGAAGGTAGAAAGCCTGGCCAGCAGCCAAACGATGCCTCAAGCGGTGGTTCCCACAGCGCAGCAACCCGGCAAAGGGGATGCAGCAAGGAAAACCACCGTCACCTCTCCGCTGGGAAGCGCTGAGCAAAGGCGAGTCCCCAGGCAATGCGGCCGATTTGATTGGCACAAGGCATGCAAGCTCCACCCCCCGGTCGTTCTTAGACTCCTTATTGGGTGAGCAACGCAGCCAAGCAACACCGTTGGAGCCTCCCCAGCAGGGAGGGAGGGAGAGGAGCTGCTTCCTTTGAAACCCGGGAAATTTAAGGGACATCATCAATAAGGGACATCAGTGGGACACGGCACTGGGATAAGGGACTTTCCTGCCAAATAAGGGACGGTTGACAGCTATGGGCAGGAAACCTGGGAGAAACCAATGCAGAGGAACCCAGGGGAGGGCTAAAAATCAGGGAAAATATGGAGAGCAGAGGCATGTGGGAGACTAGTTCTTGCCATTCTCTGTTCTCAGTACCTTTCAGCATCTTGACAGCGACAGTGATAGGCTTGTTCGGTTTCTCTTTATCGATCCCCATTGCTTCTGCCATTACCACTTGACCAAAGCAGCCTTCGCCCAGTGGCTTTCCTAGAGTCAGGCTGAAGCAAAGCACACAAGCAAAGACGTCAGCATGTCACTCGGGATGCTGTATGAAAGGTGGTATATTAAAGACCTAAATAAGAGTCAACCAGCTCAAAACTGCATTTTCCTCACCGAGATCTTGCCAGTTCCCACTTAGGGTCAGCAGGCAGCTCAAGCTCTGAGACGTTTGCCAGGATTGGTCCATCACTGGAGGAAAGGCGGGTGATCCTGACTAGAGGAGTATTGGAATTCATGGAGGAGTTGGACTCCAAAGATACCTGCTTGAATACAGCAAAGGAGGTGTTATTGCCAACAGCTTCTATTAGCTAGCATATAAGGTCATAGAAAGAGAATAGCAAAAGGGCATTAGCTGAAGAGTCTTTGCTTCATTCAATAATCTGCAATATGGACACACGGTTCTTCCTCTCTTAATATGCAAATGTCAAGCTCATACTTTGGAGGATGGGTGGCGGCTAATGGATTGAAGTTGAATCCTGACAAGACAGAAGTACTGTTTTTTGGGGACAGGGGGCGGGCAGGTGTGGAGGACTCCCTGGTCCTGAATAGGGTAACTGTGCCCCTGAAGGACCAGGTGCGTAGCCTGGAAGTCATTTTGGACTCACAGCTGTCCATGGAGGCGCAGGTCAATTCTGTATCCAGGGCAGCTGTCTACCAACTCCACCTGGTACGCAGGCTGAGACCTTACCTGCCCGCGGACTGTCTCGCCAGAGTGGTGCATGCTCTAGTTATCTCCCGCTTGGACTACTGCAATGCACTCTACTTGGGGCTACCTTTGAAGGTGACTTGGAAACTACAACTAATCCAGAATGTGGCAACTAGACTGGTGACTGACGGCGGCCGCCGAGACCACATAACACCGGTCTTGAAAGACCTACATTGGCTCCCAGTATGTTTCCGAGCACAATTCAAAGTGTTGGTGTTGACCTTCAAAGCCCTAAATGGCCTTGGCCCAGTATACCTGAAGGAGCGTCTCCACTCCCATCATTCTGCCTGGATGCTGAGGTCCAGCGCCGAGGGCCTTCTGGCGGTTCCCTCATTGTGAGAAGCAAAGCTACAGGAAACCAGGCAGAGGGCCTTCTCGGTAGTGACGCCCGCCCTGTGGAACACCCTCCCACCAGATGTCAAAGCAATAAGCAACTAACTGACATTCAGAAGACATCTTAAGGCAGCCCTGTTCAGGGAAGTTTTTAATGTGTGATATTTTAGTGTATTTTTGGTTTCTATGGAAGCCGCCTAGAGTGGCTGGGGAAACCCAGCCAGATGGGCGGGGTACAAATAATAAATTATTATTATTATTATTATTATTATTATTATTATTATTATTATTATTTGTCAGCACAGCTCCAAAATTCCGCAACGGTGTTTAGCTGACCAGGGAAATAGCTGCAACATGCAGACACGCAATATAATCTGTCTCATCTAACTGGAGTGAATCTGCTAACTCTTGGACATTATCAGCCTGCCAGAACCTAGGTCTGCTCCTCAAGCCATCTACCTCTGCCAGTGGAGCTTCTATTGCTTCCCGTCAAAGATCTCCCCACCTGAGAAAACATTTCCAGTGTATAGGAAAAACACATAGCCCAAGAGTGAGACTCCACACTTTCCCAAGACTTCATTGTTAAAGAAGTCACCACTTTTGACTCAGCTTATGCAGCAATGATTGAAGCTCAAAGGAGAAACAAATGTCTAGAAAATGGAAAATTGCCCCCTTCAAGATCTGCCATCTCCCACACCAGGTGAGCCTTGACCTTCCCTGTGCCTCCAGTTTCTCTTGCTAGCACAGAACTATGCCAACATGAAAGGTCTACGCCTTTTTCTCAGCCAGCAGGTCTGTTTAACACACTATATAAATGTCAGACCTTAGCAGAACCAGATAAAGAAAACCGGGATCTATAAACCAGAACATTTTAAATCACCACCAGATTTTCAGGCCATATTTTACACGCTTGTTTTGTTTTTAAATAATGAAAACAAAGATAAAATAGGTGGATGAAACCATTTCCTGCTAACAGCGTTCAAAGATCTCACTTAGAGCTTCCAGAGACATAAATCACCAGGGCAAGTTTCTGATCTAGACAGAAGATTGCAAAGGGGAAGGAAAGATAATAAGGAAGGAATAGGAACCTTGTATCTACTTTCTGTTACCTGTCTCTTGAGTGGGAACTTGGAGACTTTCTGAACAGTAGTGGTGCTAATCGGTTTTTTGGAGGGCCTTTTAATTCTATAGATAACCACCACCACGGCCACCAAGATGAAAAGAACAAAGCCAGTCCCATAGCTGAGGATGCCTGCATAAAGGGAACTGGAATCGTCCACGGCAACTCGCTTTTCTGCTGCAGAGTAATAGAGATATGTTAGGAATCTGAATGGGAGACAGGCAATTCAATTCAGATAATACCTAGCAAATCTGGACCACACACCCCAAACACCCAGCAAAGTGTATGTTCTCCAGCGCAACGCCTTGTGTGGTACAGTGGGTATCTTAGAGGCCACGTGCAAACAGCTAATATTCTACAGAATGCCTGTGACATCCCAAAAGATAAAGAGTTGTCCTTCAAAGCCCTATACGGCCTAGGACCCTCGTACCTACGGGACCGCCTCTCCTGGTATGTCCCACAGAGGAACTTACGGTCTTCAAACAGAAACATCTTGGAGCTCCCAGGCCACAGAGAGGTTAGGCTGGCCTCAACCAGAGCCAGGGCTTTTTCAGCTGTAGCTCCGATCTGGTGGAACGCTCTGTCACAAGAGACTAGGGCTCTGCGGGACTTGACATCTTTCCGCAGAGCCTGCAAGACAGAGATGTTCCACCAGGCCTTTGGCCAAGGCACAGTCTGACCCCCTCCTTTGGTAATCCTCACAGAACTCTAGCCCAATGGTTGCCATTAATTTGATTGGAATTAATTTTATAATGAAATGATTTTAGAATGTTTTATCATTTTACTGTTGTTAGCCGCTCTGAGCCCGGCTTCAGCTGGGGAGGGTGGGATATAAATAATTTATTATTATTATTATTATTATTATTATTATTCCAATCAGTTTGCCACAAAACAACTGAGCGGAACTAGGTAAGTGTGGCCAAAATCAAATATGTTTTTGTGCTTAAAGTAATGTTCTGAATCTAAGTGCCACAAAGGTTTGTCATGTTGTTAACGGGGTGAACAGATCAACCAATTTAATTTCTGTCTCAGTTTTGCAGCAATTTGTTCTGTCCCCCACCATAGATTAATAATAATAATCATCATGGGGGAAAATGTGTTTTAGTTAGCCATATTGTATGCCTGAAGAATCTTGAATAGATAGTTTGGGTTTCCTAAAGGCACTGCAAGTCGTGCATTAGTTCAGTTGCAATAATACATAAGTAAAACAGAAGGGCTTAAAGTTGGCTGGTTGGCTGTTTTTTCAAACAAACTCCGGTTTCTTCAGTCTTGCTTGGAAATCTATAGAGTTTCTAGGACTTAAACACCAAGCATAGGCTGATCGTGTAAGACAATTTTCATTTAGCCTTGTTCTTTGTTTAACACCATTTGTTAATGAAAGTATACCCCATGGAGTACCTGGTTTTTGTACGTGGCCCGTAAGATATGTAACTCAGCCTGTTATATGCAGAGTGCACATTGAAAGCATCTACCCTCTCCACAACTCCCTCTCTTTTAATACACAAACAAAACTTCTATTATTGATACACTTAAAACTCCCATGTGCTCCGGATCATTGGACTATCCAAGTCTGTTTAAGCAAAAATAAAGGATTGTGGGACATTGAAAAGCACTCTACTGCCCTGCCACATGTGGGACTGAGTTAATGTGTGGCTGTGCTGCCAGGGGCTGATGGGAAATGTAGTCCCAAACATCTGGAGGAAACCAGGTTGGGGGAATGCTGTCGTGGATCCGGTTTCATTACTCAGTAATAAAATGGGTAGAATACTGAGCTGGATTCAGAGGTAATCATCACCACTATCTACAGAATTTAATAAAATTGTCTATAAAAGGTTTCTGATAGGTTTTTGTAGAAAATGCTTTTCAAGGTAAGAGACATGAAGCATTATTTAAAAATAAAAGTATTCATACAATGCCAATTCATACAATACAATACGGCGGTGTACAGCAATATAACTTAAAACACCATTAAAATAGTAAAAAAATAAATAAATTGAAATGACTGGTTGATTAAAAATAATAATTTAGAGTTACACAGGCCTATCTACATAGAAAGGTCTTCAAAAGATCTGTTTGTGCCTGCCGAATCTCTACTGGAGAAATCATATACAGCTCCTGGGGTGAAATGGTACCCAATAAACTCTATGGAGCTAGCACAGATAAAGGTATTTAATGAAAATGAATTTGCAGAGCACATGTTCTCAATTGTTGTCATGATGTGGCATTCATTCGTAACAGAGCTTCAACATTCCCACCCAACAGAAGCCTACAGGTGTTAGAAAGACTGGTGATTGTGGAGTGGAAGCATGAGAGATTTTGTTCAGCAACAGTTAGCCTCCACCAAGAACATTATGGGAAATTAGCTGTCAATGCTATAGGCCGTACTGTGTAGGATTTATGACATAGAAGGCCTTGGTGTTCTCCAAAACTAAATACGGACCCAATCTAGCCAAAGAAGCACTTTTAATCAGATTCAACGATATTAAAAGCCACCCAATTCATAAAGTCAAGATACAGAAATGTCAAATGCTTGAGCGGCACATAGTCTGAAACAAACTGGTGGTACTATGGAGGTAAAATTGTGCATCACATCTCAACAGATGACGGCCGTTTTGAGACGGAGCCATGAGCATCGCACCTGCCCACTGAGACGCAACTTCATTCTGGAGTGAGAATTTGAAGCATTGACTGCCAACTTGGTTAACAAGTTACATATTGCCGAAAAGGTGAAGTGTGCTTCAGCGCAAGCTGGCTATAAGAGTAACACTCATCTACCGCTCAAGAATTTGGCATTTCGGAAGTGGGCGCCGAGGCCCTTAGGGAAGGAAAGGGAAAAAGTGACAGAGCCGAAGTACCTGGTAATACCGTCAGCCAAGCAGTATGGTGTGTAAACCCAATAGAATTCCCAGCAAGACAAGTATATGCCCCAGCGTCCTCAAAAGTAACATTGCGTAAGTACAGAATTTCTAGCTCCTTATCTGTTTTGTTAACACCTGCTGTCTACAGAGGGAGAAAAAAAAATATACAAGATAAAGAAGGAAGGGGGGAGGGGGAAACCCACAGGATTCCAAAGCCAAATCCCAGAGAAGGCAATACGGATGCTCAGGCAAATTTGAAAAGCAGATTTACAATATTTGAGAGGCCAGTAGCTTGTCCTACCACAACCAGTTGTTTAAAAAGCAAGGGGTTCCCTTCACCAGGCTCTTACTCTGTCCCACTAATAATGCATGCAAGCAAAAGCGTAAGAATGAAAAAATTTCCTCCACATATATATGACTGTCTTTTGGTTAGTACGGCTGGGCAGGGAGACAGGGAAAGAGAGTAAGTAAGGGCAAGGAGCAAGGATAAAATGCAGTTAATGTGAATAATGAGTTAAGCATGGGGGAAAGAGAGCTTAACTTTTAAAAATGTAAAATTGATAAGGATTTCCCCCCAACCCACCCAAACATCAAATCTGAAACCAGCGACTTGTTAACTCGTCCCCCACTTCTGGTGATTTTTATCACACTTACACGCCAAATTACTGAAAGATTCCTGATGCAAGCTGGAGAAGGAACGCTCTGTCTCTTTCTCAGTTTCCGTCAGAGATCTTTCAGTGACTGGCCTGTACATTGTTTTAACTGCAGGGAAGTTTTCTCTTCCTCTTCCCAATACCTGAATTTGATGTGCAGGAGATTTTTAGAGTTCAACGAACAATGAAATCAGTAAAGCCTATCTATAAATTATAATAAGGTTATGAGAGTTCAGGTCGTTAACATGCAACTCGAAGCGATAAGGATGTAGTGAGCAAAGTCAGACAGTCATCAATGTGGGAATTTTTCCTTTGCAACTGATTCGTTTTTAAAAAAGCATTTTATTATCTTAATATATAAGTAGTGACATCATGACATACACAGGAAAGACTACAAAATATTAATTTTTAAAACGACTAGCACCTTCAAGCGTTACAGCTCATTCTTGCAGTTGCTAAGCCTTTGGGACAGAGTCGAGGGTTTACCTGGTTTTGATTTGTCAATGTGGAGCCAAAATGATTTTTCGGCTCTGCCTACGAAATTGTTGGCTCTACATAGATATTCGCCTTCATCTTGTTCTGTCACTTTAGACAAATTTAGGTAAGCATCGGCTTCAGCGTTTGCACTGATCAGAGACTGCAGAATAGACAGAAACCTCAACTTCAGTAAACCAAACAATATCTCTGCATCACACATTAGACAGACAGGACTGAATTTCTGCTTCTTGTTTCTTAAAAATGTACACATTACTTGACCAAAAGGGACTCTCTGATTTTGCTAGGGAGCCGAATTCCGCGTCCTGTCCCCCCCCCCAAACAGGAGTTCCTTTCTTTCATTTTTTAAACAGCCTGTGGAGCTGCTCATTTGAAATTTTTCTTTGGCTGAAGGTTTTTAAAAATGAGCTCCCTTCAATTTGCCGCAGTTCTCAGAGTTTATTTGCACCCGACAAGCCAGTAAGTGTTGCAGCTACTAACGGAGATTTCCTTTCACGTTCACCTAGGGGACCAGGGTTATAGTGGTTAAAACAGGGATAGCCAATACAGTGGTACCTCGGGTTAAGTACTTAATTCCTTCCGGAGGTCTGTTCTTAACCTGAAACTGTTCTTAACCTGAAGCACCACTTTAGCTAATGGGGCCTCCCGCTGCTGCCGCCGCACCGCCGCTGTGTGATTTCTGTTCTCATCCTGAAGCAAAGTTCTTAACCGGAAGCACTATTTCTGGGTTAGCGGAGTCTGTAACCTGAAGCGTATGTAACCTGAGGTACCACTGTACTGATGAGTCTCTAGCTCTCATGTCAGCAACAGCAATGTTGGCTACCCCTCCCTGAAGGATCATCTTCATGATGATTTGCTCGTTATTTGCAAATATTCTTGGCTGGCCAAATCTAGCCAAGACACGGTTTGTGTCACACAGACTAAAGCGAAGAATGAAAAGGAATCATCTTTGGCCAGACTTCACGAACCTGGAGGCCCTCAAGATGGACTCCCAACAGACTTAATTCAGCTCTGTGCTGGCTGGGGCTTATGGGAGTTGTAGTCCAAAATATTTAGAGAGGTTGCCAGGTTAGTTAAGGCTGTGCTAGAAGACCGTGGCCGTGATCGTGGTTTAGGCAGGGGTGAAAACTCAGCAAGTGCCTGGGATTCACTGTGGGCCTGGGGAATAGTTCAATTTGCCTGTTTCACTTGCACCCTGACCGCTGAGTGATCTGCCAAGGTCCTGATGTTCGGCTTGCGTAAAGATCATGAGATCTTCATGATCTTCCAAGAGAACAGTACTTGCTTGGATGCCTCGAAGGTATGTCAGAAATGTAGTTTTGCTGGAGCTGGACACGAAGAGCTGAGAAAGCCAAATGCAAGCTCACAGACACAAGCAGATGGAGCTATGGCCAGCTATAAAAGCTGCATCTGGTCCTCATGCATAGTTTGGGGAGCACAGTTTCCCCATCATTTTTAAAGAGGGATCTCAGGATCAGTTGGAAGACTGCTGCCCCACCCCGTGGATCCTTGCCTATGGGGTGTTTTAAGGATCCATATAATCTTGTCTTTTATCATTTATCTGCTGAAGTATCACCGTATTTTTCGCTCCATAAGACGCACCTGACCATAACATGCACCTAGTTTTTAGAGGGGGAATGCAAGAAAAAAATATTCTTTGAAGGGAGTGCTGAACAGAGCCTGTATGTATCCCAGGCTCTGCTCAGCGCTCCCTTTCACGAGCTGCGTGGAGCGTGTGTGTGGCGCTTGCAGGCTTTTCCCACGAGGAGGGAGAAGGGCAGCCTGTCACTGACGGGCTGCCTTTCTCCCTCCTTGGGGGAAAAGCCCCCAAGAGCCGCACACATGCTCCGCGCGGCTCTTTAAAGGGAGCGCGGCTCTTGTGGCCTTTTCCGGGAGGTGGGGGAAGGACAGAGCGCGGCTAACCCAGAAGCTAGAACAGCGAGAGGGAGCGCTGCACAGCGATCCCTCTTGCTGTTCTGGCTTCTGGGATAGCTGCGCAGCCTGCATTCGCTCCATAAGACGCACATACATTTCCCCTTACTTTTTAGGAGGGGAAAAGTGTGTCTTATAGAGTGAAAAATACGGTAATAGTTTGCACTTTCATAGAACTATATCAAGGCCATATATAAGATCATGGTTAAGTCTGCCTCAATAAAAACATCAGTAAATACTGGAGGGGGAATCGTGTTGTAAAGGCCTGCATAAACAGCACAGTTTTCGGAAGATTATTTGAAAGATGGCAGTAATGATTCCATCCCGAGCCTCTGCTAGCAGGGCAGGCCCTGCCTTACTGAAGGCTAGTAACGGCCAACGGTTGTGGGGAGCCACCAAAAGTGCCCCATCAGTGATGCTTGTTAGATGAAGAAATTTAGTTTAGAGCACTTTCCTAGCTCCCAGTTACATAGGGACTGGTGTTCCTCTCTGTAGGTCCACAAATCTATGCTCAGTCCACATAATTCTGGAATCCTGGACTGGATCTAGGAATGGATCTGCCATAGATATCAAAGCTGGGTTTTGGATGGATTTGCACTCCCCCTTAAAAAGTAAATTTCCAACTTGCGGGGTTCCACTTGACATTAAAAGGCAGGTGGTTGTTTTGGCTGGTATGGCAGCTGCACTCTGTCCTACAGACCTGGCTTCCATCATCCATGCCCTAGTCACAGCTAGATTGGATTCCCATGATGTGCACTGCGAGGGGCTGTTTCTGAAGAACAGCTTGCAAACTTCAACTGGACCAAAGTATATACAACTTTAACAGCCGATTATGAATTCTGTTATTTCTCCCTATCTTTTATGTTGAAATAGAGTGGTGCTTTTACATCCCATCACCTCTCCATACAAACATACCACGTCCCTAATATGACAAGCACCGCAATGCACTTTTCCTGTATATTATTTGGCAAAGGAGTTAATCATGTAGGAGAGGAAATAGGGTGAGAATCTTGTTTGCTGGATCAGATGCTAAATCTGAAATCCTGTTACCTAATAATGGTCCTTTAAAGTAAGAATACTTATTCCTCTTTTTCATTTCTACGGTGTTTTCAAGTGATTCCTACCATTGGAGGGGTTGGGACTAGATGGTTGCTGGTGTCCCTCCCAAACATACAGTTCTATGGGTCTATGATTCAAGTTTTCAACGTGTGTTATCCGGCTGCAATACTTACAATGACCCTGTAAGGCAAGTTAGTACAGTGGTACCTCGCAAGACAAATGCCTCGCAAGACAAAAAACTCGCTAGACGAAAGGGTTTTTTTGTTTTTTGAGCTGCTTCACAAGACGATTTTCCCTATGGGCTTGCTTTGCAAGATGGAAACGTCTTGCAAGCTTGTTTCCTTTTTCTTAACACCGTTAATACAGTTGCGACTTGACTTCGAGGAGCAACTCATAGTGTGGTAGCCTTTTTTGAGGTTTTTAAAGACTTTGGTGATTTTTGAAGCTTTTCCAAAACTTTCCCGACACCGTGCTTCGCAAGATGAAAAAAATCTCAAGGCGACAAAACTTGCGGAACGAATTAATTTCGTCTTGTGAGGCACCACTGTATAAACTTCTCTGTTGCATGACAGTCAATGCTGGGAGTTGAGGCTTGCCCAAGACCACCTAACGAGATCATGGCAGGAGCGAGACTCAACCAGAGATCTCCTGACTGATGCAATCCTAACCATATCTCCTCAGAAAGTTCTATTAAATTCATTGCAGCCTACTTCTAGGTAAATGGGATTAGGATTTCAGCTGCAGTCTCTTAACCATTATGTTATACTTGTCACAAGTCTGGTAGTAGCCCTACCATATTTTGGATTTTGCAGAAGATTTCACCCCAAATGTACCTGCAAACCTGGGTGGAAATGAGAGTGGTACATGGCTTTCTGCCTGCTTTTAAGGTATGTGCCTTTAGCGTCAATAATGCCCAAATCAAGAGGTTCCAGAAGTATTCGCTGCTTTGAGGCAGTGCCTCAAAAGTATAGGTCAAACTCTAGCATGCAATGGCCATAGAGGGGATGTGTAGCTGTGTACCAACCTTTAGGACAGTGACATACGGAGTCCCATCTGGTCCATATTTGCTTCCATTGACCTCCACGTGTTTCAGCCACTGGATGTGAGGCTGGGCATCGCTGTACACTTTGCACAGGAATTTGACATCACTCCCAATCACCACTGTCTGGTTAGCAGGCAATCCTGCCTGGAGAATAGGACGGTGGGGTGATCTTTCTGCAGAAGAAAAGAAAGGAGGAATGAGCTGGCTCTTTTCCAGTCGTTCATCGGGAACCTGATATATAGAGAGCGCTCTTTTGGAAAACGGTTCTTTTTTGGAAAGCCTTTGAATGCTGCTGTGTGAATTCAGTCAGAGGAAGGATTCGCTGTAAACAACTGCAGGGCAACCGATTTATGGCAAGATGATGTTGGTGCTTTGACTTGTTATTCTATACAGTGCAGAATCTCAGATTAAGCTTCAGTGGTGGTGCTGTGGGTTAAACCACAGAGCCTAGGGCTTGCCGATCAGAAGGTCGGCAGTTCGAATCCCCGTGATGGGGTGAGCTCCTGTTGCTCGGTCCCTGCTCCTGCCAACCTAGCAGTTCAAAAGGACGTCAAAGTGCAAGTAGATAAATAGGTACCGCTACGACGGGAAGGTAAACGGCGTTTCCGTGCACTGCTCTGGTTCGCCAGGAGCGGCTTAGTCATGCTGGCCACATGACCCGGAAAAACTGTCTGTGGACAAACGCCGGCTCCCTTGGCCTGTAAAGCGAGATGAGCACCGTAACCCCAGAGTTGTTCGCGACTGGACTTAACTGTCAAGGGTCCTTTAACTTTACCTTTTTACATCAGCATGGCAGCATACAGTCTTGGTCTAAGCTCAGACCATAAGAAAGACAGGTATATGCTCATTGGAATCACACAAGGAAGGTAAATTAAAATAATACTGGGCGGTGGAAGCTTTTCTCAAAGCAAAATAATTATCCCCAGGGCCAGCATTCTTGGGAGCCAGAGACAGGTGATGGCACTGAGCCCAACACGCGACAGAGAAGCACTGAGAGAAGGGATTGCAGTCACTTTGTTTTACACTTCTCTGATGAATTCTGGGCTAAAAGAAAAAAGTTAAGAAGGGGGTGGTGGCTTAACCCCCAAAGGTTCCTCTGAGCACCATGGGCCCTAACATTTGCTGCATGTTGACTCCAGGCCCAGTTCTCTTGGCCACATATAGCTATAACCTAACAGCCAGAAAGAGAGAAACAACAAAAGACAGGGCTCTGCGGAGGCAGCATCAACAAATACTCATTCAGCCCCAAGGGAATCCAAATTCTGCAGTCAGAGTATGTTGCATAAGCCGTATGCAAGCACCAGTACCTTTGGACAACTGTAATGCACTGTATGGAATTAAAGAACCTCTTAAGGAATTAAAGAACCTCTTAATGAGGGTGAAAGAGGAGAGCGCAAAATATGGTCTGAAGCTCAAAATCAAAAAAACGAAGATCATGGCCACTGGGCCCATCACCTCCTGGCAAATTGAAGGGGAAGAAATGGAGACAGTGAGAGATTTTACTTTCTTGGGCTCCATGATCACTGCAGATGGTGACAGCAGCCACAAAATTAAAAGACGCCTGCTTCTTGGAAGGAAAGCAATGACAAACCTAGACAGCATCTTAAAAAGCAGAGACATCACCTTGCCAACAAAGGTCCGTATAGTTAAAGCTATGGTTTTCCCAGTAGTGATGTATGGAAGTGAGAGCTGGACCATAAAGAAGGCTGATTGCCAAAGAACTGATGCTTTTGAATTATGGTGCTGGAGGAGACTCTTGAGAGTCCCATGGACTGCAAGAAGATCAAACCTATCCATTCTTAGGGAAATCAACCCTGAGTGCTCACTGGAATGACAGATCCTGAAGCTGAGACTCCAGTACTTTGGCCACCTAATGAGAAGAAAAGACTCCCTGGAAAAGACCCTGATGTTGGGAAAGATGGAGGGCACAAGGAGAAGGGGACGACAGAGGACGAGATGGTTGGACAGTGTTCTCGAAGCTACCAGCGCGAGTTTGACCAAACTGCGGGAGGAAGTGGAAGACAGGAGTGCCTGGCGTGCTCTGGTCCATGGGGTCACGAAGAGTCGGACATGACTAAACAACAACAACAACAATGCACTGTATGTGCGGCTGCCCTTGAATTCTGGAGGCTGCAGTTGTGCAGACTTGTGACTACTAGGCCAGTAAGTGGAAAGCCCAGCGGGAAGGAACTACATCACGTCCACCCCCAGCCCCAAGCCACCTGAGTAACATTGTCCATCTGGTGCAAACAGGCAGAAAGAAAACTTACCAAGGACATCAAGCTGGTAGGTATGCCAAATGATGCCATATTTATTCTGCACCACACAGGTGTAGTTGCCTCGATCTGATGGAACCACACTTTCCATGACGAGGCTCCACTGCTGATGTCGCAACTGCAGAGGGGGAAACGAAGAATAACCACAAATCAGCCTCCTTTGCAGGATCTATCTCGGAAGAGAGTGAAGTGAAATACAGTGGTACCTCAGGTTAAGTACTTAATCCATTCCGGAGGTCTGTTCTTAACCTGAAACTGTTCTTAACCTGAAGCACCACTTTAGCTAATGGGGCCTCCTGCTGCTGCCGTGCCGCTGGAGCCCGATTTCTGTTCTTATCCTGAAGCAAAGTTCTTAACCTGAAGCACTATTTCTGGGTTAGCGGAGTGTGTAACCTGAAGCGTATGTGTCAGAGCTGCCTCAGGTCCCAGCTCACAGAGGACCAACGCCAGTTTCTCTTTATATACAAAAGTCTTTATTGAAGTTCATTATTGGTTTTACAGCCGAGGCGCGCAGCTCTACGTCTGGATCCCTAGACCGCCGTAGCTCCGTCTGAATCTCCTCCCCCCGTACACCAGTTCAAGACTCTCGCCTTGCTCCACCTTTTCCTCTGTTCCTTTCTCCTCCGGGTCCTCCTGCCCGCCGGGGTCTCACCCTTCCTGGACTCTTCGGAGGCGGATTCCTCTGACTCCTCCCCCTGCTTCCGGCGGGCTTTGGGACCTGGTTCCCAATCCGGATTTTCTGCTGTCCCGCGCGCCTGCACATTTGAACTTGGCGCGCGTGCCCAGCCGCCCACTTTCCTCCTAATGGCTACACTGCTCCTGTCACTGCTTCCCCCTTCGGGGGGGGGGGCTGGCTGGAACTGACCTCCCCTCTGCTCCTCCACTCCCCGACGGAGGCGTGGTCAGTCCTGACTCACTCTCCCTCCCCACTGGTCCTGATCTGTGGGCTTCTTCCCCCCTGCTACGCTCTGGTGGGGAAGTTGGCCCTGATCTCCAGCTGCAGCTTTGAGCCTCTCCGCTGGCCCCCCTTGCCCTGACCCTGGGCGCCTCCTTCTGGGAATCTTCTGATTCGCTGGAGAGGCTCATGGAATCTCCCAGGTCACTCTCATACCCTCCTATGCTTCCCTCAGATCCTTCCTCTTCGCTCTCCATCTCCTCTTTCCCCTGTGGCTCTGTCCCTGAGCCCCTGACAGTATGTAACCTGAGGTACCACTGTATGGCAAAAGGAAATCAGATTTGGAACCTGGTTGCTAAAAGTACTAAAGCAACAAGGAAGCTGAGTCAATCTCAGCTCTGATCCCATTTTAAAGACTTTCTATCAAAAGTTTAACATCCCGACGGAAACCCATTCCTATGTTGTTAAATATGTAGTCTGCAGCCGGTTAATGTGAGAATTAATCTCAAACAAAACTTCAGCAATTTCCTACATCAGAATGGTCAGGAAGAAGTATTTGATCATAGCCAAAACAACTCTTGAACCCCCCCCCAAAAAAACCCCACTCTCCTTTTATAGGGCCCGATAAATGAGATTGGGGATTATTCACATGAACCAAAAAAAACTTTTGAGGAATGAGTACAGTGGTGCCTCACAAGACGAAAATAATCCGTTCCGCGAGTCTCTTCGTCTAGCGTTTTTTTTGTCTTGCGAAGCAACCCTATTAGCGGTTTAGCGGCTTAGCGGCTATTAAAGGCTTAGCGGCTTAGCGGCTAAAAGGCTATTAGCAGCTTAGCGGCTTAGAAAAAAGGGGGGGGGGAAGCGGAAAAAAATCGCAAGACTCGCAAGACGTTTTCGTCTTGCGAAGCAAGCCCACAGGGAAAATCGTCTTGCGAAGCAACTCAAAAACGGAAAACCCTTTTGTCTAGCGGGTTTTTCGTCTTGCGAGGCATTCGTCTTGCAGGGCACCACTGTATTCATTTAATTCCTCAGGATGTTAATCACGGCAAATGTGCTAGTTTAAAGCTAACAGTATTACTTTGCTTTCTCGAAGTGGCAGACGTTCTTCCTGATATTTTTTGTACATACACTAGATTCAGCAACATAGGAAAATTCTCACGAAATTTGTAAACGGGCTGCAGCTAGGGGTTGGGGAACATAACCACCACCACAACAACAACAATAATAATTTTTTATTTATACCCCACCCATCTGGCTGGGTTTCTCCAGCCACTTTGAGCAGCTCCAACAGAATATTAAAAGCACAATAAAACATCAAACATTAAAATCTCCCCTAAACAGGGCTGCCTTCAGATGTCTTCTAAAAGTCGGATAGTTGTTTATTTCCTCGACATCTGATGGGAGGGCGTTCCACAGGGCGGGTGCCGCTACCGAGAAGGCCCTCTGCCTGGTTCCCTGTAACCTCACTTCTCGCAGTGAGGGAACTGCCAGAAGGCCCTCGGAGCTGGACCTCAGTGTCCTGGCTGAATGATTCAAGAACAACCTGAATCTAATAATTCATCCAAATACAACGTTGAATACCTACAATGTTGTTCATATGCTTCAACTGTCTCACCAATATATTCAGTTTATGACAGTATCCACGTCACATTTTGCATTCTAAAAATTATACCCAAGGAGAGAATCTGCAAACCAGTTTGGCTATCAAGAAGTACAGACTGGAAAGGAAATTATCTATGATGTGAAAGTGGTGGATCCCATATCCAACTGCCCTTTCAAAATTGTTCAGTGAGCAAAACTTCAGGTGCGACAATTCCAAGAGGTTTTCAAAGCTGGAGGTTAAGAAATGGACCAAATCAATATTTAGACCCCTGACGTCTTACTTTGATGCCCCCAATACGGTGCTCTCCTTTGAATTCTTTGCCATTTTTCAGCCAGTGTATAGAAGGAGAGGGATTCCCAGCAGCCGGGCAGCGAAAGCGAACAGTGTTTGCAGCAGGAACAGCCAGAAGCTTCCGATCCATTATCTCGAGACGGGTCCAGTAAGGAGCAACTGTAGACACAAAGCAGAGGAACTGAAGAAACAGACCATGTCCGTTGGCGAGCCTGTGATGCGATCTATTATGTGGAACAGCAGCCAAACGGCTACAGCTAGATTTAGTTTCAGCAAAATCATTGTTGTCTTCTCTCATATATATATATATATATATATATATATATATATATATATATATGTTTTAAAATATAAAATTATAAAACATACCACACAATTCATCACAAATACCCTCTTATTAGCCTTCCATCAGCACCTTTGACAATCATCCGTCTTAATCACTTCTTACGCATTTCCTAACTTAATATTGCCTTTACATTTTTAACACAACTCATCTCCTTCTTCATTTTTGCAATATTTCTAATATTAGTCCTCACAGAGCCTCTTGCAAACCTACAAACGTCGTCTGGTCATCGCAAATACTTTTCAAATAATTCGTAAATTTAAAATCATTCTTGTTTTCATAGGTTGGGAAAGAGCAAGGTAGTTGTTAAATGAGCCTTGGAGAAGCTTGCTGATGAGACCCAATTCTTGAAAAAACTGAAACAGCTCCAAAGTGACCTCAGTGAAATGAAAAACAAACGCCATGCCAAGTTAGCATCGGATTAAAGTCCTCAGGCTATATGAATGAGAAAGCTCTCTCCTCAGTAAAATTCTGAGCTCAGCAAGTCAAGAAAGGTGGGCAAATCCACTCCACTTCCCAGTGGGGAGGAGTTGCGGTGGACCACGTGGCCAATCACTCCCCTTCAGAGGCGTTCCCGTGATTTCTAGCCAGCCAATACGCTGGCTGGGGGCGTGGCTGGGCCCCATTTAAATGGAGGCGTGAGCTGGAGAGCTTCCTCTTGGCTCGCCTCCTCGATCTCCCACCTGACCTCCCTATTTTCAGGTTTCAACATTGGCCTTGCTATGGACCTCGGTTGGTTACCGTTGAGGGGCCTGGTAGGAATTTTTCCACTTGGCAACCTGGCACGGGCCATTTGGTTTTCGCCTACAATCGTCACAACTTTGTAAGGTTTGGCGGTTAGGCATTGGTTGACCTTATGATGGGGGAGGGAAGGTGTGGACATCACCTGCCTCTCCAAGCTGAAGTGTATTCCGTTAAAGGAATCAGGGGGTGTGGATCTTGTCTGAAGCCCGGGGCGGGGCTAGGGCCATGCCACGACCCCGTCGGGAACCCAGGGGGAGTTTGAGTTGGTTTGCATCGATGGGGCTCCCCCTGCCAGTGGTTGACCCTTACTGGACTCCCTGCGTGACGGGCAGGAGTCAGCTATAGTCAGGTCAACTCCAATGCCTAAGCCTATACCGCTCACATTTTGTAACCAATAAAGTTGTGGCCTAAATTTGCCCAATAACCATTAACCTAATATCTGTGTCCTTGCGTCTTATTCATCAACGAGGGGGTGGCGTCGGGGTCTCAACACGCAACAGAAAGATCTCAGAAAAAAGAGACAAGAAGCGCTAAAGAAATTTCTTCCCAAGGTGCTTCAGAAGAGGACCTCCAGTGATCAGAATGCCGTCACAGGAAGCACCTCAAAAGAAGTGCCTCGTCTGTTTGCAAGAAGGTGTACGGGAGGCCAGTGCACATGGACTGATTGGCAGCAGTCAGCATGGGTAAAGGTAAAGGGACCCCTGACCATTAGGTCCAGTCGTGGCCGACTCTGGGGTTGTGGCGCTCATCTCGCTTTATTGGCCGAGGGAGCCAGTGTACAGCTTCCGGGTCATGTGGCCAGCATGACTAAGCCGCTTCTGGCAAACCAGAGCAGCGCACGGATACGCTGTTTACCTTCCCGCTGGAGTGGTACCTATTTATCTACTTGCACTTTGATGTGCTTTCGAACTGCTAGGTTGGCAGGAGCAGGGATCAAGCAACGGGAGCTCACCCCGTGGTTTAACCCACAGCGCCACCCGCATCCCTAGCAGTCAGCACAGAGGTCAGCAAAGTCACGTTAATAATCAGGGCACCAATTCAGTGCATAGATATGTGTGACACTTGCAAAGCACTTCATCCACTGTCCCAAATAACCCTAGTCCATACATAGGAAAAAACAAAGAGACTTTTAAAAATCATTAGGGATTTCAATTTTAAAGGGTTCTGCTACCTTTGAAGGCAGTGGTTTTGAAATACAGTGGTGCCTCGCAAGACGAAATTAATTTGTTCCGCGAGTTTTGTCGTCTTGCGATTTTTTTCGTCTTGCGAAGCACGGTGTCGGGAAAGTTTTGGAAAAGCTTCAAAAATCACCAAAGTCTTCAAAAACCTCAAAAAAGGCTACCACACCGCGTTTTATGAGTTGCTCCTCGAAGTCAAGTCGCAACTGTATTAACGGTGTTAAGAGAAAGGGAACAAACTTGCAAGACGTTTCCGTCTTGCGAAGCAAGCCCATAGGGAAAATCGTCTTGTGAAGCAGCTCAAAAAACAAAAAACCCTTTCGTCTAGCGAGTTTTTTGTCTTGCGAGGCATTCGTCTTGCGAGGTACCACTGTACCACTGTCCTTCCCAGGTATTTTCCATGATTTTCTTTAAGTAAGCAGCACTCTTCCTTGGCACTGTTACAAATATCGCATATTGACTCCAAATTAAGGCAGTGGTGGAAGCGAACACAATATGCTGTATGGATATCCCCCCCCCCCCCCGCAATTCAGTTGCTATTCAAGGACAGCAATGGGGAAGGCACTATGAGACACAGAAACAGAAGAAGAGTTTACACACCCATTCTTTTAAGAAAGGGCTTCCTGATTAATTCTGAAACTCTTTTTAAAAAATATCTCTAGTGAAGAATGGATTGCTGCCCTTAGAAAACAACTGAGAAATTGAGGTCTTTGGTGCAGTAGCATAACCACTCAAAAAGATAACAGTAAAAATATTGAAACACTGAAAAGTTTTGACTCAGTGCTAGATATTGTAAAACAAAGATGGAAATCACTGGAGCCTACGTGCCAATCTTCCCCCCCATTTGCACAAATGATTCCAACAGCTCCAAGCCCCATTGATGCCAATAGTTTAGCTAGTATAAGCATTCTTGAGAATTACTTTGCATGTGTCCCAAACCCCAGGTATTTACCTCCGTCTTCAGAGTCATCTTCATCTTCATCTTCCTCTTCATCATCACCTGACGATGGAGAATCTTGAAAGAGAAGCAAGGGGAGGGTGGAAATTACATTTTGTGGAGGCAAAATTCTCAATTCATTCCTGCAACGGTTTTCCATTATCAAAACGTATTAATTGGCACATCCCAAAGTTATCCCAATAAAGCTGTGATCATCTGAACTCAACTTTTACTTCTGAACTTACTAACACATAAATCCACTCATCCACAAACACAGGGATACAGTCCGGCTAAGCCCAGAATATCAATAATGATCTTCAGAACAAAGGGGATTAAAAACCACAGGTGGTTCAGTTCTATCAATGTCCTTCTTAAAGTAGGGCGTTCTGAACTAGAGGCAGTACAGTGGTACCTCGGTTTAAGAACAGCCCTGTTTACGAACTATTCGGTTTACAAACTCCGCAAAACCAGAAGTAGTGTCCCGGTTTGTGAACTTTACCTCAGTCTAAGAATGGAATCCGAACGGTGGAAGGGCACTGGCGGCGGGAGGCCTCATAAGGGAAAGCGCTCCTTGGTTTAAGAACAGCTTTGGTTTAAGAACGGACTTCCAGAACGGACTAAGTTAATAAACCAAGGTACCACTGTACTTAAAAGACAGCAAGACCAGTAAAGGACAGTGGAATTATTATTTCTTGCTATCTGGACACAGCTTCTGTTTATGCAGCCTAAGACTGCAATTGCTTTTTCAGGAGTCAAATCAACCGCTGCTTACATTTAGTCTGCGATCAGCTAAAACAGACCTCTTCACCTCCCTAGTAAGTAATAGTGATGCAATTGCTGGAAAGTTGGGATGGTTGTTCCACTCTGCTTAGCCACTTCTGTTAAAAGGCGCAAATGAAAACCAACCAAAATCTCAATTCCACCATAAAAAAACAACAACAATGTCCCCGTTTGTTTGCACTTTTCTACAAAATGAGGATGGTCAGAAAACCTTTATATATAAACAGTTCGAGCAAAGATGTACCCAAAGAAATTGTCCCTGAAGAAATCTGGTGAAATGACAAGCTCCCACATGAGGAGAAAAATGGAACAACTGAAAGGATGGTGTTTTACGCAGATCGCCTGGGTGGCTGCTATACATAACATAACTAAAAGGGAACCTATTGACTGAGGTTTTTGTAGTCTGCTTTTAAAAACTCAAATAAAAAGAATGAAAACGTATCGTCTTTGATATTTATAAAAAAATCTCTTTCACGTCAACTCTCATCCAAAATAAACAGGGGCAACGCACAGGTACCCTTTCATAAGAACTCTCTCGTTTACTGTGGAAGCACCTACAACTTTGGAACTGCCTGCCTATTGAGATCAAGCATGTGCCTTCACTGTACTCTTTTCAGTACCTGTTTAAGACATACTTGTATAGACAAGCCTACCCAGCTGCTTAGAAAGTTGAGGTAATTTTAACCTGTTTTAGTATTTTAACTTTTAACTTTTGTATGCCTTAAAGTGGGGTTGTGAATTTTTCTTGATTTTACCATCTATATTTTGTAAACCAATTTGAGGTTTTGTAAACCAATTGGCACATTCTAATCATTTCCGTTTTCACAGTTTTGAAAGGCTCACAAGCTCGTTTTAAGTCGGCGGTTTGTCGATGCCCAGTATAAAAGTGGTTTTGCTGAGGAAATCAGCTTGGCAAAATCATGTTCGTATTAGAATTCCCCACTGCCAAGAGCCAGGCACTGCTAATGGGGAAAAAAAACCAAGCAAGATCATTTTTATTGCCCCTGTGCAGCTATGCGGACTCTATATTTACAGTCTGTTGTCGTAACATGAAAATATCTCTAGGTCCTTTTTGCTCTTCCACGTTGCTGTGAATGTTCTCTTCTGTTCTTTGGAAGTTCTTGAAATTCAAAATTTCTTTGGAAACCACAACCTGAATGCAACATTCCAGGTGAGGGTGTGGCAATAAAGATATATAACATGCAGCAATATATTGTTTTTTTCCAGTACTCTTTCATTTACACTACATAATGTAAAACTGCCCCTGTACCAAGAGATTATGCTTCCACTGTTGTTGTTTAGTCATTTAGTCCTGTCCGACTCTTCATGACCCCATGGACCAGAGCAAGCCAGGCACTTCTGTCTTCCACAGCCTCCCGCAGTTTAGTCAAACTCATGTTTGTAGCTTCGAGAACACTGTCCAACCATCTCGTCCTCTGTCGTCCCCTTCTCCTTGTGCCCTCCATCTTTCCCAACATCAGGGTCTTTCCCAAGGAGTCTTCTCTTCTCATGAGGTGGCCAAAGTATTGGAGCCTCAGCTTCAGGATCTGTCCTTCCAGTGAGCACTCAGGGCTGATTTCCTTCAGAATGGATAGGTTTGACCTTCTTGCAGTCCATGGGACTCTCAAGAGTCTCCTCCAGCACCATAATTCAAAAACATCAATTCTTTGGTGATCAGCCTTCTTTATGGTCCAGCTCTCACTTCCAGACATCACTACTGGGAAAACCATAGCTTTAACTATACGGACCTTTGTCGGCAAGGTGATGTCGCTGCTTTTTAAGATGCTGTCTAAGTTTGTCATTGCTTTTCTCCCAAGAAGCAGGCGTCTTTTAATTTCGTGACTGCTGTCACCATCTGCAATGATCATGGAGCCCAAGAAAGTAAAATCTCTCACTGCCTCCATTCCTTCCCCTTCTATTTGCCAGGAGTGTAAAACTGCCCCTGTACCAAGAGAATATGCTTCCACTGAGCTGGTTTTAATTAAGCGTTATCGCAGGAAACCAGGGCCCTGCGGGACCCGCCTGGCTTTTAGTCCGGGCCCAGTTTGACCCCCCTGTATGGGACCCCGTAAGTTAACTCTTTGGCCCTTTTATCGGCTCCTGTGGGACCAACATGGATGAATACTTGAGGTTCCCGACCCCTATGGTTGTAATTCGTGGGCAATCATTTAATTTTATCCTGATTCTAATTTTTAAGCTGTATTTTAATCAACAACAGGAAAACCCCCAGAATCCTAGAAGATTTAACATAACTTTTAATATGTAGATTTTCATCAACATATTAATTTTTATGCACACTCCCCCACCAAAATATATATATATGCATGATTGCAAACAATGTTTGGTTGACCAACTGCATCACAAAGTTCAGGTGTTAATTTTGAAGGATGGCTCTTTCGAACCACATATTCTTTCAGAAAGTATAGATTTGATAGATTTGGCTTTAAATGCAAACTGAATCAAATTTCTTCCCTTTCCTGGTCGTTATACATTGGGCCTGTGAATGCGTATCACGAAAAGATCAAAACGAAAATGGAAGTTGGTAAAGAGATGCACCCTCTATAAGGCAAGAATACTCAGCAACAACATTCCCTTCTCACATGTACTCTGGGGGTTGCCCACCACCTCTGGATTCTTGAGCAAGTGCCATGGGTTCCAGCCCATCATTTCTCTCCCCCCTCCCCAGTTTGCCCACAACCAAGAGAGAGACAGTCAAGAGACAATGGAGTGCGTCTCCAGGGATGAAGTCAAGCTGCTGTGTTAGCAGCACCCAAGGGACCTCCCGGTAGCTCAAATTTTTATGGAGGTCCTGGGCTGCCCCGACAACAAGACACCCCTCTTGGCCTTACTGTTGCCGGAAGGAGGCGTACAAGGCACCATCCAACAGTCTTAGGGACCCCACTCCTTATTGGTGTAGGGTTCACTCCTTAGCCTCCTCCTCCTCCCCCAAAGATATCCCACAAGGCAGTGGAGGTTTGGACCAGAGCTTTCCTTCTCCTAGATGGGCTACCTTCTCTGGTTGACGAACCCCATCTGCCCCTCTACAGCAGGTGTAGAAACTGGCCTCGTCTGCTCAATCTGCCAGAACCTGTCTTCACATGCAGAAGTCCAAGGTTTGAGACCCACGGGCTACCCTTGCCCAGTTTAGCTGGCCATTCAAAGCCATTCCCAAGAACACTGTTGCATGCACAGCTTTTAGGGACCACAGGTGAGACCAAAGGTAGACAAACTACAATAGTGGAAAAATCATTCACATCCATGTCCAAGCACCTGGGGTCCTCCTGTTATTCCACAGAGAGCATTCCAGAACCTGAGTTAGCAGTCTTTAGCTTCTTTGTTAACCTAACACTTTTCAAGTCAGGAAGCTGCAACCTAAGCAGACTGAACAGTATCACAAACTTCGTTGGATAATGCGAAGGAAACAACGTTGGTCAAACAACATTGGTCAAAGCAATTTGATTTTCAGATCAGATTAGAACCAGATGCAAAACTCTTTAAAATGCACTTTTGATTTGGGGATGTAAGCATGGATCCAGGTGATCTGCAGAAAAGCAGAGAGAAAACGGGGGGGGGGGGACTTCACTGAACTCACCTGTCACTCGTACTGTGAAGTTCCTGAGCATTTCAGTGGAGTGCCTTGGCTTACAGCTGTACAGGCCAGAGTCATCGTAAGATACATTGATAATCCTTAACAACTTCTGGACAAGATGAGTTCGGTTAGTAGGTGAAATCCCAATGCCATCTTTATACCAGAAGACAGACATAGAAGAGACTGGAGAGTTACACAGGAGTTCGATGTTCTCGCCACTGCCAACCACCAGTTCTTCAAGGAATGTTGTATCGGTCCTTAAATAATCTGCAAGGAAAGAAAACGGAAAAGATGCCATACAATTCTAGTTTACTCAGAATATCTAAACATGATCACAACCATATTCTAGGTAAAAAGGTAAAGGTAAAGGACACCTGGACGGTTAAGTCCGGTCAAAGGCGACTATGGGGTTGCAGTGCTCATCTCGCTTTCAGGCCAAGGGAGCCAGCATTTGTCCACAGACCACTTTCTGGGTCATGTGGCCAGCAGGACTAAATCACTTCTGGTGCAACGGAACACTGTGATGGAAACCAGAGAGCATGGAAACACCATTTACCTTCCTGCTGCAGTGGTACCTATTTATCTACTTGCACTGGTGTGTTTTTGAACTGCTAGGTTGGCAGGAGCTGGGACAGAGCAACGCGAGTTTACCCCTTTGCAGGGATTCGAACCACCGACCTTCTGATCAGCAAGCCCAAGAGGTTCAGTGGTTTAGACCTGTAGGAGAGTCTCTCTCTCTTGTTTGTTCGCCCTTGCTTTTCACGAGTCACAAGCTTCCTCTCCTCTGGTCCTGGGTCACCCATCTCTCCTCTCCTTCCCATACCTTCATCTACTAACTCATCTGCCCTCTGGCTCCTGCCACCACCAGCCACCTCTCCTTTATCTCCTGCTTCTCCACCCTTTCACAGGCACCAGTGCTTCTTCTATGTGCTTCCTTCCGACAAGTAGATTTCCTATTTCATCTGCATCTCGCACCCTCTCGTTTTCCTGCATATATTTCTTGCCTTCTCTGCCAAGAATCTTTTCCATTCCGGAGCTGATTTGTGGAATACGTCAATTAAATATGTTGATGCCTCTAGGCATGCAGAGACTGCTTTTCTTCTCATTTTTAGGAAACTGTAGAACTGAAGAGCACTTTGTGATAGGTTGCCTAGCTCCCAAGCAAGCTTGAGACCCAGTACCACTCTGTTTATACACACAACAGTCGCTGAACCGAAGGCAATGAAAGACTGCTCCCTTGCTGCGTGGCTGTGAAATGAGCTTTCTTCTGGGCTGCCATGTGTCCGGATTATCCTGGACACAGCTGGGAAACAAGCTCTCAAATGGCATGCGGACAGATTTTCTCTGAATCGGTGAAAATCAGTTGTATGGCAAGTGGGGTATTTTATTTTAATTTTTGAATTCTTTTACAATTGTTGTAGCTCAATAACATTGACAAGAAAGAAAGAAAGAAAGGCTCAACAACTTTGTCCAGATTTTCACTTTTGGGAATATGGCAACTCTACTTTCTTCATGGGAAGAGAAGACTCCCTGGAAAAGACCCTGATGCTACACTGTATGGAATTAAAGAACCTCTTAAGGAATTAAAGAAACTGTTAATGAGAGTGAAAGAGGAGAGCGCAAAATATGGTCTGAAGCTCAACATCAAAAAAGCGAAGATCAGGGCCACTGGTCCCATCACCTCCTGGCAAATAGAAGGAGAAGAAATGGAGGCAGTGAGAGATTTTACTTTCTTGGGCTCCATGATCACTGCAGATGGTGACAGCAGTCACGAAATTAAAAGACGCATGCTTCTTGGGGGAAAAGCAATGACAAACCTAGACAGCATCTTTAAAAGCAGAGACATCACCTTGCCGACAAAGGTCCGTATAGTTAAAGCTATGGTTTCCCCAGTAGTGATGTATGGCAGTGAGAGCTGGACCATAAAGAAGGCTGATCGCCGAAGAATTGATGCTTTTGAATTATGGTGCTGGAGGAGACTCTTGACAGTCCCATGGACTGCAAGAAGATCAAACCTATCCATTCTGAAGGTAATCAGCCCTGAGTGCTCACTGGAACGACAGATCCTGAAGCTGAGGCTCCAATACTTTGGCCGCCTCATGAGAAGAGAAGACTCCCTGGAAAAGACCCTGATGTTGGGAAAGATGGAGGGCACAAGGAGAAGGGGACGACAGAGGACAAGATAGTTGGACAGTGTTCTCAAAGCTACGAACATGAGTTTGACCAAGCTGCGGGAGGCAGTGGAAGACAGGAGTGCCTGGCGTGCTCTGGTCCATGGGGTCACAAAGAGCGGGACACGACTAAACAACAACAACAACTTCATTTAAAACTTGCTTCTGATGAGACCTGCTCCAACCCCCTCATGTTGGGATTTTAGGGAAGGAAGCAGCTAGAGAAAAGAAAGTTTCCTGGAAAGTTCAACTCCCACTCAACACACACACAACAATTGTGTAAATTATAACTGCTGGCTCTGGTAGTCACACAATCCGTGCCTGACCCACTTTCTGTCTCAGTCTACCGCTGCTGCGACAAGCATTTGGTTGCGGGCAAAAACCCCTCACTCCCCTTTCTTTTATGGTGGCCAGGAAAGCTTCTAATATAGGGTTGGTGTTCTGGAATAGCTCGAGGAAACCTTTGAGGAAACTTATAGATTGCAAGAAACAGGCACCGCCTTGGACATGCTTTCTACAAGATAGAATCACAATGCCAGAATGAAGCTTTCATGTAAGAGGTTGTTAAGTTGTGGGCTAACATATCAGATGACACAGCGATTCTTCCAAAGCAGCTCTTTATTTGTAAGCTGGAACAGAACTGAACTGAGGAGCTCAGTCAGCCTGCTTATATAGAGCTCCACTAGAATGCAACAGTACCCATTTTCTGTAACTAGCCAATCACTGGACGTCACTTTCGATCCTTCATTTGCATACAAACTATCCAATCACTGAACGTCACTTTCAATCCTTCATTTGCATAACTATCTACAGTATCCCCCTGCTGGCCCAGGGTGAGAACTTCAGTACATAACAGAGGTGATGTTCACTGGCTTGGGAACTAGCTTTGGTTTTTCATTTGTTCCATTAAATTAGAGTCCATGTCTCAATGGTAGAGCATATGCACTCGTGGCATCTCCAGCTGAAAAGCTCTCAGGTTGCAGGGCTGGGAAAGGCCTGAAACCTGGAGAACTGTTACCAGCCAGAGGAGACCATCTTAGGCTAGATGAAACCATGGTCTCAGTCAGAATAGCTACAGTTGTCCTCTTCTACCCCTCCTTCCCATAAGTAGATATGGTCAGGGTAGAGGACAATTCGCTGTCTGTGTCTGCACTAAGTGAGCTCTAGTTGGGATTGACTGATTTCAATCAAGTTTCCCATTCTGTAATCCATGTGTTTCCTGAACAAGATAATTTCCATAAAAGATAATTTATTTGAAGGGTAGGGCTCCAATCCAATACACAGCTACTTCCAAAAAATCCTATTGAACAACGCGGGACCCAAATCAGATTAAACATTCATAGGATCATGTTATAACAAGCATTCACAATTTCCTAGAAGCAAGGTCTACGTTCTCTGTTCCTCCGGACTTCCCTGTCCCTTTTTATATTAAACTTCTCTTAGATCAAATCTTCAGTTAAGGCAGACAGCTGGCACCCAATAATACCTCAAAAGCAAAATGCTGGACCCCACATTGCCAAATCCCAGGCTGCTCTATAACGGGGGGAGGGGGAGAGAACAGCTTCACGATAATTAACTGAAGGGGCACAATGAACTAAATTCTGCCCAGCTGGCTAATTAAAAATGGAAGCCACCACACTCAACAGCCAACATAGGGCCAAATCACGAAAGAGGAGGGAAGGACCGGTAGAAAGAGCCAGAGTTCTTGTTCTATTCAGATACCAGCTTCCAGCAGGGATTTTGCCCGCACGGCATTAATTGTCATTCCAGCTACAACCGTCCTACTTTCAGAGCGAAATTCGCTTTCCAACACAGCTAGTTAAAACCATCAGTTCCAATGCATGTATTGGCTGATTTCCCCCAACCACTAAAACTTCTTTTTTAATGTCAAAAATCTTGAAATCCAGGACCAATTTCTTCCTTACTTAGAAAGGTGCAGAGCTTCATGCTAACTTGTGTCCATGAGATTAGCAAAGGCGCATTCTGTTAAAGAGAATTACAGGCCTGTTTTGCATATAGTCATTTCGTTCCAAGGGAAAGTGCACTTTCTCCCTTTCCGTCGCTGGCATAGTTGTAAGGCGGAGATCAGAAGCTCCACCTGTTTTAAATTAACTAGAGATTAGTATGACATCTGAACCCTAAACTGTGGCTAATTTTAACTATGGTTAGTGAAAGCGACCCAATTCCATACATTATGGTTTGAAGTTGGCTGGTTTCCCCAAACCATAGTTAAGACTAATCAGGTCTAGATGACATGACAAGCTGCAGCCGGTCTAAATATGGACGAGAATGTTTCTGAACTCCTCCCTGCAGCAATGCCAAATGAGGAAAGGGCAATGTATGAGCCCAAAGCTTTCTGTGATTCATCCTTGCAGCATGGAGAGGTAGAGGCTCTTACCTGACCCTCTCTCATTGGAAGAAGAAGAGAGAAGAGTTTGGATATTTGATATCCCGCTTTATCACAACCCGAAGGAGTCTCAAAGTGGCTAACAATCTCCTTTCCATTCCTCTCCCACAACAAACACTCTGTGAGGTGAGTGGGGCTGAGAGACTTCAAAGAAGTGTGACTAGCCCAAGGTCACCCAGCAGCTGCATGTGGAGGAGCGGAGACGCGAACCCGGTTCCCCAGATTACGAATCTACCGCTCTTAACCACTACACCACACTGGCTCACAGGTAACTGCTGCACCTTACAGAGGTGGGGAGGGGGAATGTGATGGGGAAGTCAGCGTAGTGCAAATATACCAGCAGCACAAATCCAGCTCACCCTGCTGGTGTGTTTGCACTGTACCAAAATCCCAGTCACATCACCCAGTAAGTTGCAGAAACACCAGTGGCGGGAGGTCAGATAACTACCGCCGCCTCTGTGTCAGCTGCTATTGTGCATAACATTAACTAAGCCATAATTTAGGGCAGGGGTCAGCAAACTTTTCCAGCAGGGGGCGAGTCCACTGTCCCTCAGACCTTGTGGGGGGCCGGACTATATTTTGAAAAAAAATAAAATAATGAACGAATTCCTATGCCCCACAAATAACCCAGAGATGCATTTTAAATAAATGGAGACATTCTACTCATGTAAAAACATGCTGATTCCCGG